ACATTAGTTATGCAATAAAGTTACGTTGATGTTCTATTGGGGTTTAGTTGGGATTCTTTGGTTTACCGCATTTTGCACGTTTGGTTGGTTTAATTGATCGCCATAGTGGAAACGGTTCGCATAGTTGAGGGGTCCCTTGCCAAAACTTTCTCCAAAACATTTCCGGGTTTGCTACAATAAAATCCCGATTTTGCGAACGAAACGAAAACGAAGAGAAACGAAAATTGCTTCAAAAAATAAGGTAGTTCGAGAAATCCGGGGTAAAATTACTGTTTTCTACTACTGAGGGAAACGACTTTGGCTCGAGTCATCGGGAACATCGAAAAATCGAGAGTTCGAGCTATCGGGATTTAACAAGCCGACCGGAGACATTTTTATTACTAAACTAGTTTAAGTAAATCAGGTATAGGTTCCTCCAAATTGTCGATTACGCTTTGCAGTCAGAAGACAAGTTTTAAACCACCTTGCAAACAAATTTTATTCAAACAGCTATTTACCTTGTTGTTTGGTATGTACAGTACGAGAACTAATTTTAAACCTCATGTTTAACATGTTAGTGTGAACGGGGTATAAGAAAGCACTAAATTAAACAAACAATGACGATAAACGTGATGACGTGACATGTCACGTGACCTGTTAAAAGCACCAATTCTACTTTAAAATGTCCAGGACATTAAAACGTCACTATGGCTAAATTTGGTTTCACTCAGCCATCTATGCCTTCAGAAATATAACTAACAAATTATTTTTACCAGTAAAGGTCTTTGACCCAAGCCTTAAAGTACTGTAGTGGATGTAAACTTGATTTACTGATGAGATAACATATACTCATTTCCTTTACTTGTCAATATATGTTTATCTCTTTTATCCCTCCTTTGTCATTTTGTCATTGCCACTTTTTGTCACATCCTCCCCCCTACCCCACCACCACCACCGCTTCGCTCGCCCCCCGCTACCTTTTACTAACCTTTGCACTCTTGGGAGGGGCACACCACCTCTTGGCTCTCCACACCGTACGACTGACCAGGACAGTCTTCATCTTTGTTAG